TAAAGCGCTTTGGGACAATGTAATGTTGTGATAATGCGCTATACAAAAATAAATTTTTTGTTGTTGTTTTCAAGTTCACCCAGGGCCGATTCCCCGATGGTGGTATGCGGGGTCGCCCTCTGGGTCAGCATACGGAGTTGTTGGGGACTCAGCAGGAACATTTTTTTTACCTCGCTCATGCTGGTGGTGGAAAAACAAAAAAAAACAAAAAAAAAAGCTAGTTAGCCGTATTACTGGTGAGGCTTGTGATGAATGGCAGAGCCACTGACAGCAGCGGTAACAAAAATCCTCCTTTCTGAAGCACGGCCTTGCGTTTCCTCGCGACGCTGTTTTTCTTACAGGCGAAAAGCTTAATCAGCCTTTTCTGCTTCTTAAGCTTGTTAAATGAGGTACGGTTAAATGTATACGGCCTCTTATAAGATTGAGACAGATTTCAGAGAGAGCCAAAATTATTTCATAGATGGGTCCGCTAGAATCTTTTTACGTTTCTTCCCCCTGGTCCTCTGTAAAACTTTAAGGGTCGGCAGTTGTTTCCTGAGATGCTCGGACATGGCTTAGTAATGTTAAATCAATCAATGGCTTGCTGGTAGAAAGAGGACGGGGAGCGACCTCGGTAATAAACCGGTCCTGAGTCGAAACTCTTCTGGGCATGTGGCTCTTAAATCGACTAATAAATACCCGTGCGTGGGTCGAGTGGCCTCTTTGTAGGCATCTAGAAAAAACTTTTTCTGCCAAGGAAACATTTGCTGAGCTAAAACTTTGATTTTCATTCTGTCTCGCACATTCTTAAACAGACAATAATAAGTAGTATTTAGGGCTATAGTCCTACTGTACTTGCCCTGATGAAATATGTTCTGCACGAGGTAGATGACCGAGATTTGACGGTGATGTCTGAACCTCGTGAACGCTTCTGCCACGAGTTTGTTTTCGGACGCGCTGTCCATCAAATCATCGATAATTATCAAGGAGCCAGAGGGGAAGCTCTCCTCATCTTCCCAACTTTTAGGCAGCCCTTGTATAAATTCAATTTCGCTGATCCGTTCACGCAATTCATCATAAAGCGGCTGATGGGAAGTAACACCACACAATTTTTTTAACACTACCCTAATCTTTTAAATCTTTCCGCACACATTCCCAAAGTGCACACACACACACACATACAAAGTGCGTGGGTAAAAGTTTTTATAAACTCTTGTGATAAATGTACAAAACATTTTTGTACAAGTTTGAAAAATAAAACACACAAGTTACATTTTAAAACAAATGTACATCTTTCAAAACTTTCATTTTAAAACATCTTACTTTGAAAAACTTTCATTTTTAAACAAATGTACATCTTTGAAAAACTTTCATTTTAAAACATCTTTGAAAAAACTTTCGTGTTACATTAACAAATTCATTCGATTAAATATTTTTAAAGACGTACAATACCCTTTTGTGATGCTGCTAGTTTTGCATTTCAGTACCCAAAAGGCAGTTTCCTCACTAGTCAACAATCTGCGTTTGTCTTAGACGACCCTGACCTTTTTATCGAGAGGCCTATTAAACAGGTGAAAACTTTTCATGTCACGTTCGATTTTGTTGTGGCACATCATTATAGGGGGATCATTCCTACAGCCGACAGGTTTCGTAATTTAGAGTTATACCCTTAAATTTTAACTGTGTTTTCCCGTTGTTTATTCGGTAACAGTAACTTTTTGGCCCCAGCGCACCCCACGAAGCAATGTATTCGTCGGGGGCTAATTCGGACGTGAGCTCCCCCAGGTAATTGCCTAAGGTCGGCTCATATTCACCCGGCCTGCTTATGTACACGATGCTGTCTGTGTGGTGATACAGGACCCGCCGCCCCAATTTTTCCAGTTCTTTGTAAAGCGTCAACCGCCCCCACGCGGTAGTTTTACAGGCTATGAATATGTCACTTTGTAGGAAGACTTGTAACGCCAGCGGATGAGGGTGACCTCGTCGTTGACAAACGCGAAACTGGAAATCTCGTACAGCTCCGAGCAGAAAAAATTAATAAACACCCCTGGGTCAGACACTATAGATGTCTGGAGCATGTTGTTCCTCTGCGCCAGTTTACCCCACAGAGAGTTAAGCAGAAGCTTAGCCACCTGCCTCTTGCCCCCGTTAGACACTATCTTATCGGGCTCCAATTGGATCTCCTCACGCTCGAGATAGTTTTTAATGTAGTCCCTGCGACCCGCGTCGTCGGGTTAGCCCGAAGCCTGTTGCTTCACTTTGAGAAAGGTTTTAATGTAGCCTCTAAACAGGTTGCCGTTGGTCTGGGGAAAATGCCACACTTCGTGGACCTTTATGACCGAATAGCCCCTGTCTAAAGCCAGATTGAGCTCCGCAGAGAACCACACGCCGGTCAGAGACCCCGACGCTGCTCTTCCCCTGTGACGACTTAACGCAGGCGAATCGCCGACGTCCGACCCCCAAACAGCGCTCCTCGTGGCCTAAGGGGGTCAGGGGGCTGAAAGTCTGACATGAAATGCTGCACTTGTGGGTCATGCGTTTTAGCGTGAGCCCATTCGTGTTCCCCGATAGATTTTATGTTCATATTAACCCCTTGGGACCGGCGATCCCACCGGCGGGATCTGACAGAAATTTCGCAAAACCGTTTAAATAACTCCGCGAGTTTTTGTCCTATACATATTTTAAAAATACTCTCAGAAACCTTGGACGGTCTACTTTTCAAATATATATAGGTAGAAACTAAATATATTTTTACAGCTTCGTGATACGAATTGAAAGAACAAGAGTGACTGACTTAAGAACAAACAACGGTTGGTGAATGAGGCCCATTACTTTTAAGTAAAAGTGACTGCTCTAATAAATATTTCAATAATGACGCGAAATGAACAACACCTTCCGAACTGTTTACAAGAACCTATACTCCTCAGAACAAGAACCAGATGCAGTTGATATAGAATAATT